CGCAATCCAGGACCACTGGCTCTTAACCGCTCACCTGCCTGCCTGCCTGATCACCCCTAACCCCTCTGCCTGCCTGCCTGATTGCCCCTTACCCCTCTGCCTACCTACCTGATCGCCCCTAATTGCCTCTCCCTATCTGCCTGATTGCCCCTAACCGCCTCTGCCTGCCGGCCTGATGCGCCTAACTGCTCCCCTGCTGGCCTGATCACCCCTAACCACCTCTGCCTGCCGGCCTGATCACCCTAACTGCTCCCCTGCTGGCCTGATCACCTCTAACCACCTCTGCCTCAGCTTCCGCCATGATGACTTTTCTGGAAGGACGTCCAGAATGATATCCGGAAGGTCGTTCAGTCTAATTAACATATTATGCTTTTATTAGTATAGATTGTATTGAACACCTTCTGGGTGCTAGCTGTGTACTTAAGCATAAGTTATCAGGCCCCTGAAATCTTTTTTTGTTAATATATCAAAGGTTTTATCATCCAATTGACAGTGATTATGTGTATATAAACATATATGACCTAAATAGACTACCTATATAATACTTGGTCTTTATTAATGTCACACAAAAATAAGAGACCAGACAGTATAATTTCGTAAGCATTCTAAATAATAAAATTTGCTTTAATTGTTCCCATTTTTTCTATATAAAATAAATTAAACATTGACAGTAGGTTTACACTCAAAATGCAAAATGTCACTATTTGATATTGATATCACATTACAGTTTGCTTCTACTTGAAAGTTTCAAAGCAGTACATTCTTATAGATTAAATGTTTGTTGAGCTACAGTTCTCTGAATTCAAAACCTCAATATATCAAACTATTAATAATAAATTATATTCTAATTAGTTAAACAAAAAATGATAGTCTCTTTTTATGAGGACCCAGATGATTTTTGGGTTATGAGATTTAAAAAATAAATCACATTATTAAATTTAATCACCCTTCAAGTTTGTAATCATTATTAACAGCACACCCCTCCTTCATTTAATGATGAACAAATCATTAATCAATGAAATTAAAGAATGAATTCCGCTATAAGCAAATGATTTCCAAGCTGCTGGAGAAACAACAGCAAACAAGCAGACATCTCCCCTGCACTGTGCAGCTTACAGAATAGCAGTTTGAGGCTCAGAATCAATAAAGCATATTTTCTATAGCTAAA